TTTTTTTCCTTAGAAATGAAAAAGCCTAAAGTGGCGGAAGATTTGAAAGGCTCAACACATAAGACCACAGAAAATGGGGTGTGGTGCGTTTCAGCCAAACAGTACTTCCTCTTCCTATGCAAATCAAAATAGTAAGCTTGAAAACGAAAGTCTACACAAATAAGTGAATCACACCACTTAAATTAAGTAAAACCTTAACTATTAATGTATCCAAATTAAAACAAACTCACACATAAAATCTTGTAGAAATAAACCATGAAAAAATTCTAAAAAAATTTCCACACAACCCTATTTTATAAACATACACCAAAACCATCCTTAGTAACACGACAACTAACGATCAGACAATCATACTATAACTAAAATGATGGTATTTGATATTTCACAATAATATAAATGCAATTTTTTCAAAAATAGTACGACGAGTCAACCTACCAAAGACCTAACGGTCAGACCAGACCGCCTGATCGAATTATTGAAAGCTTGTCAATAAGATTAATAAAAAATAAAAAAATAACTACAAAAACTCACCTTCGCTTGATCCCCGTATTTCTCGCCGGAGATGAGATCTGCACACCACTACTCACCGGAGAAGAAATCAAAGCACCACCACGACTATTATTATTACTACCGCTACTATTATTATTAGACACCAAAATCGGAGCCGGAGCTTTCAAAACTCCGGTCGACACGCCACATGGAAGCTTCGCATCGCTCTGAGAAATCTGCAGCATCTTCGAGAAAATATTACCCGGCGGCCGATCCACGGCACCCGAGCCATAAAAGAACCCGGAAACCGGAGGTTCGGGAGCCGGGTTATGGAGAAGCGGGTCGCCCGTGAAGCTAAATGGGTCACCAAAGTCTTGGTCCGGCGGGCAGCCGATTGGTTCGCCGGCGGCGGCCGGAGCTAACGGCCAGTCGGGAGCAGCGGCTCGAACGATGTCCGATAAGTCGCCTCGTGTGTTGTTTTCCATTATTATTCTCCTCTTTGGCATAGTTTTAGATGAGAATCTGCTGTTTCATTTGACTTTGGTATTGGGAGGGTTTTCTTTTNAGGTTTTTCTTGATTAGGGCAATTACGTTCTAGAGTAAAAAATGGTTTTTTTTTTCCTTTTTTTTTATGGTTTTTGATAAAGATTTGATCTTTTGTCTGTTTTTGAACAAAAGGGTTTGTGGGTTTTCGTTTTATCGGAGGAAAGAGTTGGAATAATGGAATTTGAGATGTAAAAATGGGGTTTTGGTTTTAGAGAGAGAGAAGGAGAGGAAAAGGATAGTCAGCTGACTTTTGGGTATAAAATTAGAAATTAAGAGTTTTTTTTGGTCTATACGCAAACAAATACTAAAAGAATTGGGGACTAATTAATAATACTAAAAAGTATATTTTTAATATAAGATGGGTTTTTTTTTAGGTGGTTTGATTTTTCTTGCAGCAATTATGGGTTCACACATATAAAGGTGTCCAATCCATTCTGTGCAACTGTTTTTCTGTTTGAATATATTAATATATAATACTTTATATCAGTAGTAACGTTTGTAGTTGTATACTTGTATTGATGGATTTTTTTTTATTCTTTTGCCTGTCTTGGGGTAGATGGATCATGTATCTTCCCAGTTATTTTCTGGTCAAATTATTTTAATGAAGTAATTGCTAAAATATCAAAGCAACCTTATCCTGATTATGGTGTCTTAATATTGATTGTCAGAGAAAGCAATCTCAAGTTAAATCTGAATATCCTTTATAATAAAATCAAGGCATGGATTGTCAAACATTGCCACAATATCAATATTATTCAGTGAACAAGATGACAATATCTATATTTAGATTGTATAGTAATAGTAATTGATGTATATTATCAATATATAGTGTTGAAAACTATATTACTCTAAAAAAAAAAAAATGAAATTCCAACATAAATATCTTCAGTTAAATTTCAGGCAATTTCAATAGATATTTCAATTCTTTTATCTTCTTTGAAATTTTTTAATAGATTACAATAAAAGTTTCAGTGGAAATATTCTGTTAGAGTGAGATTCCATTAGAATTTTTATTGCATTATGAGAATTTCAAAAATAGATTTTCCAATAGTTAGAAATATGGGTAAGAATAAAAGTTTCTATTGAAATTGCATATTTAATTTGAACGAAAATTCCTATTGTAATAAATCGTTGATAAAAATAGTCATTTGAATTATCAAGTTCCAACCAAAGTTTGACAAAGAAATCATTCCAACAGGATATTTTCGTTAGAATCATTCCAACAAAAACTATAATATTAGAATTAATACTCATTGGAATATTCATTAAAATATGTTACTGTTTGATTATGTATATGTAGTGTATTAAAACGGGTGATGGTAAAAAATATTAATAATTCAAGGATAATTTGGATTTTGATTATGTATATGTAGTGTATTAAAACGGGTGATGGTAAAAAATATTAATAATTCAAGGATAATTTGGATTTTTAGTTATGCGGTTCAATAGATAATAATTCATTCAAAATAATATTTTGTGATAAGGATAACTTAACATAATTTTGAACATTGTGCATTAACTACTCAATTTTTTTGTCTTTCAACTAAAATATATTTCATTCTAGAATTAATAAAAACAAATTATTTAATTATCAAGACTTCATCGTGAATTTTGAAATTGATATTTATATTAGGTGAATTCAGATAGATAAATTGTAGAATGTATATAATTTTAAGATATTATGTGTATTATTCTTTATTTTTCTTTAAAAAATATGATAGTAAATTCAAGAATACGTGTATTTTGAGAGATTGGTGAATTGTTCTGTGTATTTTATTCATAAATTATCTAAATTGGAATCATTTATGTTTGGGAATAATCTATTAATTTTTATAAAAACTAATTTGTTAGTTGTTGACAATAATTTATTTCTTTAAACATGAGTAATGAGAAATAAATGTCTAAATTCGTATCGTTAGATGTACGCTAAGGTTGTTGGCAAATGTAATCTTTTGACAATCATATTTTTTAAATAAATATATTTTCTTGCATTTTAAAATATCATACTATTCTAACAAATAATAGGCAAAATTGCATAAAAATTTACAACCTTTGTAGCTTCTGCAATTTAATCGCTACATTTGGGCTTTGACAATTAAATACATCCATTTTAGTCATCTTTACAGATCAAAACACGTTTCAAATTTCCTGCAATGCAAGATTTACGTGTATTTAATTGTTACTATGTACAGTGATTAAATTGTAAAGCCTTACAGTGTGATGCCTTTTATACAGTGCCCAAATAATACGAACAAAAATCTAACATCTTTTAGTATAAGTATTTCTTTTATTTAAAAGTATGATGATTCAATGATATAAGTATATACTACATTGTATATATAGAGAGAGACTTTTTAAATAGTTATAAATATAATATAAGTAATATGAACTAGATACATATATTTTATGGTCTAATATGATGAACATTAATGAATACAGTCTAATTTAAGGAAATAGTATATTATATATTATTCGGGAAAACAAAGAATTATAAAGAAGTGATGGGATAGGTTGTATTTAAGAGGGCAGCAAGCCGCCGCAATTCTCGGGCGCCCTTCGAAAACGTTCTGTACGTGGGACCCGTGACTTCTATGCACATAAATAAAAATTAAATTAATAATTAACTAATTCTTCCAGCATGTATTTTTAGAATATCTCCACATGGATAATAATTATATTGGCCATTAGATTTACATACGTATTTTTGTAATATAAAATATTGCCAATTTGCCTGTTGGGAAATTTATATATAAAAAACAANAAAAAAAAAAAAAAAAAAAAAAAAAAAACAAGTGGACAGAAAAAAAAACAAAAAAAAAATGTGGAAAAAAATCAAAAACTCGTATTCAGTGAATACGTTTTCTTCACAAATTTAATTGAAAAATGTATTTTTATTTTTTTTCTTCTGTCCAGCTAACTTAAAATTATTTTTTTTGGGTAAAAAAATCCTTGCCTTTTGCCCCAATTTCATAATTTCACATTTTTTCTTTTCTCTGTTTTTTTTACATGATAATTTAATACTTTTTCTAATTAAGGACAAATAATGTTTTAACATTTAAGTAAATGGAAAACCAATTAATCATATGTTAATAGGATGAAAATTCTTTTACTATTTATTTAAGGCACGTGAAAATTGGACCTTATTGTGTGTGTGTGTGTGTGTGACTGTGTTATATTTTCTGAAACTTTGCGTAAATTCAAAAAAATTGCTTGATCAAGTAAAAGCTTCTGAATGCACACATTCCAACAGAAAAATAAAATGTTATTAAACTAAATTTAAATAATTTTTATAGTTTGGGTCCTATAAGATTTGTGATGGTCCATACTTAGAATTTAGAAAGCCCTTAATTTATTTATAACTGGGTGGAGACAACACATACCCCACGTTCTTGCAGTAAAACAAATCAAATCACAGAATACCTAACTATTTATGGACCCTTTTTTTTCTTAAAAAAAACATAATTACACTTGATAAATATTATAATTTTATTTATGTTATTTTCTAAAACACTTATATATAAAATTATACAACATATATAGATGTTAAAAAATATATAATTATCTAACGATTAGATATGTCTAACTGCCATCTAACACTATTAAAAAATGAAGACACCTGAATACTCAAAATTAAGACCTTTCTTATTGAAGAGCGAACCTTATTTGAAGACGCATGCTCAAGACGAAGATGCCACTAGAAGGTAGACTTATTATTGGTGACAACAGCAGAAAAAGAGTAATAGCAGGGGCATGAAGAGACTCAAACTCAAATAATCAGCTCGTCGTGCGAACCCATCCCGAGAAGTCGTCCCGTCTGTAAATCCTGAACTTGAACACCAAAAGATGAAAGGTAACAATAAGACCTTGTTCAACCAATTGATCCAATAGAAATAAGATTCAAGGCCAAGTTAGGAATGTAATATGTGTCAGAAATTAGATGAAAGTAAAGAGAAGAAATCAGACTAGTGTGAGTAATATTCATATAAGTATCATTGGCAGTATGTATATGAGGTAAAAAATTAACGGAAGACAAAGAAGACAAAAACTGTGGACTAGAGGTCATGTGATTGCAACAACCAGAATCAAAATACCAATGAGGTTTACCTGCGGTAACAGACATAGCAAAATTGGAATGAATAACCTATTTGAGAATAACTCATATGTCTTGAAGAGTGCAAGGAGAGTGTTGAGGCTCATTAATGACAGTCGCTGTAATGAGGAAGTAGCAGTTGAAGAACACCCACGAGACCTTCAATATCGTGAAGAGGAACCTTCCGAATGTTGTGATTTGGCTGGACAGCTTAGAGAAATATGGCCCCGAGCATGGCAGATGTGGCACACCACTTTAGGACAATTGGCATAAATGTGCCAAGAGCTCTTGCAAATCCTAAATTTTTCAGAGATTGACGACTGAGACTGATGTTGGAGCGAAAGTTGAAGTAGGCACAGATAATGCAGATTCAAGTTGTGGTGTCCTGTCCAACTAAAGTCTCCTCAAAAGTGATCTCTTGAATAGCAGCATTAAGAGTAGGCCAGACATGACGATGCAAGAAAGAAGCATGAACAACCTCATACTCAGGACAAAGAGCCACCAAAATCTGAATAAGATCAAGATAGTTCGAACTAATCTCATATCCTGTCGTAGATGATACCTGATAGGTTGTACTTGTGCAAGAAACTCATTGACCGATTGACCCAGTTGCTGTTTGGTGGAATGCAAGGTACTCCAAAGCTGATATTAGTGAGTCTGGCCTTGTTTGAAATCGAGCAACCAAAAAATTCCAAGCCTCCTTCACACCATCAAAAGGGGCAAGTTGCACATGAATAACATAGATAGAAGTATTACGTAACCAAGTAAGAATTTGATGGTTCTTACTATCCCAATCCTCCAACTGATCGACGTATGCTATAAGAGCCTGAGGAGTGGGGTTAGTATCCTGAATACAAGACGGATGCGCAT